TCTATCCCACCCTCCCTAATGTCTCTGACTTTAATAAGAGCCTGAAACTTAAGTACAATTCTACCGAGTACCCCTCGACTGAATCCCACATTTTCCCTACTACCAAGAAGGAAAAACAGTGCTCAAATACATTTTTCCTGGATAATCAAAAAAAAAAAAAAAAAAAGGAAAACCTAAAAATTTTCATGCGTGCATATAAATAAACACACTTTTTCCTCCAAAAAAAAAAAAAAACTTGAAATCTTATTTTATTCGTTCATTATGTAATAAATAATATAAAATTAAATAAAAGATAACCCAAAACCGATCGATTTTACATAATTTTAAATTTAAAAGTAATAAATCCTTATCAGAAATAACACGTACACCCCCACGCACGCACACACAGAGAGAAATAAAATTTTTATATTTAAAAAAATTGAAAAAAAAATTTTTTTTTCTTTCACCCACTTTTAAAACCTTAAAACTTTAAGGTTTGCGTGTGTGTGCGTGTGTGCGCGCCTATCTGTCACCTTAAAAATTTAAATTAATATTATTAGAGATTAATAAATTTTTTTTTTCAATTTTAAAACAAAGTTAAAAAAGAAAAATTATAAGAAAAAACCTTGAAAAGGTTTAAAAAAAAAAAAAAAGAGGGCAGTAAAAATTCTACTCACTTTTGACTCCCTCCTTTAATTTATTTATTGTATTGCTGAGGAGAAAACGTGAGGAAAATATTTTTTTTTCCTTCTTCTTCTCTACCTTCACAAAAATCTTTAATAATTTAGATTGATTTTTTTTTCTTTCCAAAATACATCAGAATCAAAAAAAAAACTAAAAAGAAAAAAAAAAAAGTTTTTATAACACGTTAGCAATCGATCGATCGATCGATAAAATAATTTTTTTTTATTTACATACATTTTTTTAAATAACTTTTCCTTTCGATTGAATGTATCTGACACGTTATCCAATTATTATTTCTAAAACAATATAATAATAATAATAATAATAATAATTTTAATTTTTAAATACAAAACAAAAAAAACAAAAACAAGAACGATAAACCACGATTTTCTTTTCAAAAAATGGTAAATAATTCTCAAGAGAAGGGGTAGGAAAAAAATATCAATAAGAAAATTTACACATTTTTCCATTATATGTGTGTGTGGTATAAAGAAAAGAAAAACGGATAGAATGATATATAAAAAAATAAAAAGCTAAAACCGTTGTAAAGAATTTAAACACACACACACCCCAAAAAAAAACTATTAAAGAAAGAAAGAAAGGAAAGGAAAGGAAAAGGAGAAAAAAAATGGTGATTGATCAGGAATAAAACGTGTTTTGGAAACGAATTATATATAATTAATAGAGTTAAAATGGTTTTTGGTTTTCATGGTCTTTTACTTGAAATAAATTGGAAAAACATTAACTCAAAAAAAAAAAAGAAAAAAACGTTGTTAATGTTTATATAAAGTTTTAACACATTACAATTTTTTTTCTTCCCTCTCCCTACTCTTTTTTTTTCTTGGGGGGAGAGGAAGGGAGGTAATAGAATTAAATACTTGTTTAAATATAACATAACTTAATTCAATTAATTTAATTAAAAAAGAATTAAAATATAATTTTGTTAGGTGATCATGGAAAACATAAAATGAAATCACTAAAAAGGGGGGGGGGGAAAAAAGGTCAATTTTAAGGTTTATAAGATTCTTTTTCTTATTTCAAAAAAAAATATATATGTATATAAAAAAAGGAATGGAATAAGAAATAGGAGAAAGAGAGAGAGAGAGAGAGAGGAAAAAGTTGTAGGGAAAAAAATAAAGAGGATGATGATAATCTAGAGAGGAAAAAAAAAAGAAAACGTAGAGAGTCATTTCAATATCCAAGAGAGAAAGAGAGAGAGAGAGAGAGAAAGGTTTTGAGAGGCTGATATATGATAGTGACGTTCATAGAATGTGGAGAGAAGAAAATGTTGTTCACCTAGGAGGATCTTTTAGTCCGGATCTCGCGGTAGAAGAAACTAAATAACATCCCAAGAGATCCACAACTGCCATTCTTTAGGATTACCTGATATTTTATATATTTTTTGGTTTCTTCTTAACAACTCTGTGGATTTTTTTTTTTCTAGAAAAAAAAAATTCTTCTTCCTTTTTCGTTCCGGCAAATTTTTTTCTGTGACTTTTCAGGAACCTTGTTTTTAAAGAATTTACAACTTTTTTATTTCCAACGAAATATAATATATAGACTATTTTACGTTTTATTGAAGTCATATGTTTTACCTTGTCTAAACTCAAACTAAACTTTTTCTTCTTCTTTTTTTTTTTTTTTTCATCGGTTTGATTTTTCACTCAAATTATTTTCTCTGTGGGTTTTTCTCTTTCTCTCTCTCTCTCTTTTCGCTCTGATAGAATTGACATTGAACATATATTAAACTTTGAAATATTGAAATCGTTTCATAAAAAAAAAAAAAATTCTCTTCAAACTTTTTACTTCACCTTTGAGTAAAGGTCATTTATTTTCA